TAACAAAGGTCTACTATAGTCAAGTTTCCCTAAAATTCTAGGAACCAAATGGATAGTGCGTGAGCTATCCTGCGTCCAGTGGGTAGTAGCGTACTAGTAAGATACTAGCTCATTAGGCCCTTGCTAAATTAATTAGACGCCTCTTAATTGAGTAGGGAGGGGGAGGGAGCGGGCGCAAAAGAATCTGATGGTCAAGAATTGAGCTTTGCGTTGGTCCATTTGGTCTTGGGAGGGGCCATCACCTTCTGTGCCTCCCTTGTCAAATCCAAGAGAAAAGAGACGGACATAGAATAAAGTACGCTTTGTTCCTAGTAGCTTTCTTGTTACTAGTAATAAAAATGCTACTAGTAGCGTCCTTGCTCCTAGTAGCGATGCCCTTTGTTCCTAGTAACTTATATACTCCTCTTTCCACTGCTGTAACTATTCATTCTATCAGTATATTCTTTATTCTATTTTGTCTCGGTAACTTGATGTGAACCGTAATGCATGTTCTCTCAGTTTGCAAAAAGAAGTGAAGCTTAACCCAATAGTCGTCCTTTGAGTTCAGCTCAAGACACAGAGAGCATGTCGGCTAGACTTCCTGAACTTGTTGGGGCAGAGTCAGACTGGGAATCGTTTCACTGGGAATCGCTTTCCCTGTAGTAACAATAAAGCTTTCTTGTAACTAGAAGCTACTAGGAGCAAGAAGCTACTAGTAGCAAAGGGCATCGCTACTAGGAGCAAGGACGCTACTAGGGGCTCCTGGCCTTACTACTAGGAGCAAGAAGCCTACTTAATTAAGTGATCGCCAGATTGAAGGTCGCAGTATCGGGTCAGGCTACAATTGACCCAGTGAATCGGCCAACTGGTGAAAAGGGAGGGACTGACGGTTGAAGAAAGGGGTCAATGTTGAGGTTACTGGCCTTGGCCAGGCTAAAATGAACCTCGCGAACCTCTGAATTTTGTGGGCTAATCCACAGACTGAGAACCCATAACCAACACAACTCTTCGTGCAGGAAGTTGAACTCTCAGCTCACGTAATCTTAATTGACTCTTTTGTTTACTTTCACACACTTTGCTTAGTTAAACGCTAGTAGGTTGGAGGCCCTCGCTATTAAGGTGGAGGCCATCGCTAGTAGGTTGGAGGCCATTGCTATTAGGTTGGAAGGAGTCGCATTTTTTTGTCATGTCCGCTGCCATGTTTCTACATCCTGTCAGGTGCTGGAGAGACTGGACGACGCCAAACATCAGCGTAGCTTGGCACAAGTGAGCAGTCCAAGAGCATTTTCTCTCGCCAATGCACGTGTACATTCTGGGTTTGCAAGGATCAGAGGAGAATGGCTGGGCCGACGCGGTGGAGAGGCTTGCAATTTCCGATTGCTCAACACTGAAATCAAGACACTAAATGCCTGAAGCTTTCAGAATGCATCGGAACATATGATTTCACATGATTTGACGTTCGGAGGCATTTAGCAGGGCAGGGCTGGGAGCCGGTGAACGTTACCACCCAAGAGGTCATCGAAGCGGTGGAGGAGAAAGTCCTAGTAGCTTTGTTCCTAGTAGTAGCTTTTTGTTGCTACTAGTAAGGCACTTGTTACTAGAAGCGATGCACTTGTTCCTAGTAGCTGTGGTAAGGAAGAGGGAGTTTTTGAAGAGATGGAGCAATTTACTCTTGAGCACAAACACAGTAAGTCCAGACGCGCACACGCAGCACACAAAACCCACACGCGCACAGAACACTAATCGCACAAATCACACCAAACGCAAAAAAGAGACTTTGAGCCTTTGTCCGTCGCACTTTTTTTGTCCTCGGTCTTCGGAACACATTCAGCTCACGCACCGAGCCTTTTGTGCTAACGTTTTGTTACGCGCAATAGGGGGCAAACACCAGTCAGGATCGACGTGTTAATGCAAATTCAGGATCGACGTGTCGCTGATACTGGTAAGGATGCATTCTTGATCTTTGACCTCTCTCCTTTGGCTGCTGAACACGGGGATTTGTTGCCTTCGGGTTTGGACACCTTGTTGGAGGGCTTGTGGAAAGCTACTCCTAAGATTTTGGCCGCGCCACTTTCTAGACACAGGATATCATTGGTAGTGTGCCAATGTGCCTAATCTGGATCCGTTGCCTGTCTACCGTGAAAACAACAGTTTTTCAGGCTCATCGTGGTCTCTAAATCGATTCGCCAAGCATTTTACACTTTTTAGCCGGTTGCCTTTCAATTCTCCTAGTCCCGAGCTTGTCTAGGTCCATCGCAGCAGAGGTTCGAAACTTCATTCATGTTTCTTCTTCTTTAGACGTTTCTTTATTTCTTCCCCCTTTTGTTTCTGTAAAACTTCTGTTTTCTGAACCAGTTTTGTGCGGTCTTTGCCCTTGAGGCGATTTGCACCTTTCGGGTACTGGCGTGTTGAAGACATCAGAGTTTCATGGATTAAATCGCCAATGTTTGAAGATGTTTATAGATGTCTAATAGCGATGGCCTCCAACCTAATGGCGATGGCCTCCAACCTAGTGTCTATGCTTTCTTTAGATCGAGAAAGACTAGGTAGGGCCGTTCCACCCACTCGCAAGAGTTTGACATTTTCCTGTCTCTAGTTGTGCTGTCTCCTCTATGGCCTGTTTTTCGGCTGGTGGGGGCTTTTGATTTCGGGTGCTGGCAGAAGTCAAGATTGTTCGAAAGTCTTAGGTAAAGCTGCAGAAGCGAACAACATCAGCTCCCACTAACATGGGTCATTTTGCTGCGACAATGAACTAATGACACTCACTTTCTGGTCTTCTGCATTGTTGTATTTGTATGTGGTCGAGAAGGGCTATCAGAACTTCTATTGGACGTGTTGTGAAACTGTTGTCAACTGTCGACACCTTGTTCAGTTATCTTCAGTTGAGGTTTAGTATCTTGCTTGTGTCTTCATGAGCTTTCCGCTATCCACATATTTCAGCGCACCACTGCTTGCTTACTTGAAAGGCTTCGCAACCCCGTTACAGTCCAGCACTAGATATTTATGGTGACATCAAGAACAACATGGGCGATGCTACAAAAGCCGCACTTCTTACTTGTCAGTGCAATCGCTATTAGGTTGGAGGCCATCGCTATTAGGTTGGAGGCCATCGCTATTAGGTTGGAGGCCATCGCTATCAGGTTAGAGGCCAGCGCTATCAGGTTGGAGGCCATCGCTATCAGGTTGGAGGCCATCGCAAGTAGGTTGGAGGCCATTTTTCATCCACCACCTGCAATTTTTCCCACTTTGGCTGTCCACAGTTTACAGGCACATACTCTGCATTCATGCCTTCCATGCTTGCATGCTTGCTGGTCCGCTCGACAAATCGACCCTGCCTCTCTTGCTTGATTGACGAGAGAGTCCAAGGAAACTTTATATTTTCCCCAAATTCTAGGAAACAAATCATTAAGAAGTCTTCAGACCATCATGTTGACCAGCCATATTTACGAAAAGCATATGCCAATGGAGAGTGCATATACTTGCATGCTTATTGAGGATTTGAAAGCAGGAAAGGAAAGGGGGCTAGGGTTGAATCATGTCTGGACGAAGCTATTTGGAGGCACAGAGCCGTCGATCATTAGGGCTTATTCGCCTAAAGCCCCCCAAAGTCAGAGTTTCTCTTTGTAAGTCACGAAGCATGCTGCAAAGCCGGCATACAACGCAATGCTGATGCGCAGCTCATGCACCCCTCACCTTGTCTGACCTCATACCTTACTTCATCTCTCTGTGCAACGTGTTTCACTTTGTCTTCTCACCCCTCGAAAACAATGTGAGCTCACCATGCTCACATGCCCTTCGCCTCTGCTCCATGCTTTCGATTTCGTTCACTCACCATCCTCCTTTTTCTCTCAGGAGAAGATCTGATGCAAGTTCTCAAAGCCCGAGGCCCGGTTCTCAGCACATTACTACTAGGAACAAGAAGCTACTAGTAACAAGGGCATCGCTACTAGTAGCAAGGACGCTACTAGTAGCTCCTGGCCTTACTACTAGGAACAAACTACTAGTAGCAAAGAAGCTACTAGTAACAAGTGCCACGCTACTAGTAACAAGTGCCTTACTAGTAGTAGCAAAGAAGCTACGAACGTAACAATTGTGGGAAGTTTTACTAATAGCTTCTTGTTACTACTAGTAAGGCACTTGTTACTAGTAGCGTGGCACTTGTTACTAGTAGCGAACATTGTGTGCCCGGTTCTCACTGTTTTGTGACATGTTTGATTGTATCACCTGAGGCAGGCACACTGTACAGTACTTGGTCCATTGGTCGCGGTTTTGGGATCGCAGAGCAGATTAAGCCTCTGGGTTCAAAAGTGCGTGGGCAGCTTTTGAATGGAAATCCCTCAAGTGTGTATGATTCATTGAGAGGTGGATGAAACACGCATCGAACCGAACCAATGATAAAGTGTCACCTTGAAGTTTTTCTTTTGGGACACTGTGGCAACAAGTTCTGGTGTGAGCGTGACCGTTGCAACAAGTCAGTGGGAAACAATTGGATTTGAATGACCAACTAGCAACAAGCTACTAGGAACAAGAAGCTACTAGGGGCTCCTGACACCGCTACTAGGAACAAGGACGCTACTAGGGGCTCCTGGCCGTACTACTAGGGGCAAGAACGCTACTAGCAACAAGCACGTGACAAGACTTGCATCGCGGACTATACAAACTTGCGGGCTCTCAACGGTCCGACGGTCCTTGTGAGTTGCGTCGGTCATTCTTCAAGACAAGAGACAAACATAACATGATACAAACACATTGCATTTATTCTTGATGTGGAAGGAAACAAGTGAAGGACACATTGCAGATGTGCAGATTTTATGGGGAAGGCATTCCAGATGTGTGTCGTTGTTGCCTTACAGTCTCAAGCACACAGAGAAGAGCTAAGAAAGACGCCCGGCGGAACACAGTATGAATAGCAAAGGCTTTTAGACGGTTTTTGATCTGAACACTTGAAACATTTCATGCAACATTTCATATGACTCGTATGCCACATATGGAAGTTTTCATGTCACTTGATGTTTATTTGAGTTTTCAGTTCTCTCCGTTCCGCGATCTCCCGGCATGGCTCGGCATGGGTCCAAGAAATGGTGACTCCAGACAAAACCGAAGACAACACCCCGAGACACGTTAAACAGGAAAGGATAAAATAAAGGAATGCAAACACCTGAAATAAATTTAGATTTTTAGAGAAACTACATTCGGATCTTTTTATCATAAACCTGTCTTTTTCATGCTTGAAGGAAGCTTCTCCTTACTGCGTCCTTTCTCCTGCTGCTTCCTGTCACTTAGTAGTTGGTCGTTCGTCCTGAACCGGCCTGTAGAGTCTCGAATTACAAGAGAGTTCATCAGCTATTGTAGTGGCATCAGAATACTCTTTTTGGCATCAGCTATCGTGCTCCAGACGAGTTTGCCCGCACGTTTTGCATAGCTGGCATCAAACTTGCCCAACAACGCCTGCATGGGATCTTTGGCCGAGTGGACGGTGGCCCGGCCACGGTGTCACGTTACCAAGAAGCAACTGCAACCCTTCCATCACAGGTTTTCTGGCGAATTGGCAAATCATCTCCCATTCAACCTCAGTTTGGAGTATCTAAGGATGGGGATGCGGCACCTTGTTTAGTTTGATGTTCCTCTGCCACCCTTGTGTTCGTGCTGATGGAGCAAACCCGTTGGTCTGACAAGTTTATGAACTTCTGGTTCCACTGGAGAAATCTGTGCCGCATAAGTCCTGACGGCACAGTTAGCCATCCTGCTGGGCACCACATGCTCAGTCGTCGAGTCAGCTTTGCCAACCTGCTCTTCATTTATATAAACCGAAACCGAAATCTGGTGTGTTCTCACACACATGAGCCGGGAACTACTACACACTTAATTCTAGTGCCATCGCCTAAGTTCTGAAAGCATCTAGGAACCAAATCAGGGAAGCTCTCCTCCACCCTCAGATTGCTTTTCCATGCTTGTCTCTGTCTCCTCCACCTCTCTTGTTGACCTCAGGTGCGGGAACTTGTTTGAAATCCCCAGCCTTTCTCGTCCCAACCCGTAGTAGCTACTACCTGTTAGCTGCTAGCTCCCAGCTACTTCCAAAAGTTAATTGTTTCGGCCTACTCGGCCTCCCAAAAAATACAAAAAGCGCAGATGAAAAACTTTTCTTTTCCACCAGGCTCGAAGCGACGAAGTGAGATGTTCGCAAGACAGTCGTTTTCAGGCGCCGGAGTTTTCGACGGTCTTCCAGATCCGTTGGGATGCTGAGTTATTGTCAGAACGTGTCTTCATTATATTCCATTCACTTTGTGGTATGTGCATATGAACTCTGTAATTATTGCAACTTGTTGCACACAAAAAAGAGTTAATTGTTTCAGAGAATGAAATTGTGCTTCATTTGCCATTACTTATTCAAAGCGACTTTGTGCGAAGGTCTCCAGTTGGCGATATCGGAGACCCCACTTCGATAGCCGGGCAAGGTTCGGGGAACATCTCAGATTGAAGTTGAAAAAGAAAAGATCCAACGTGGGGCATGTGAGGAGCTCGAGTTGCTAATTCCTTTAATCAAGATAGTCCAAGTAAAGCTAGGAGATAAGGAAGCTACTAGTAACAAGGTGCATCGCTACTAGTAACAAGTAGTAGTAGTAGTAGTAGTAGTAGTAGTAGTAGTAGTAGTAGTAGTAGTAGTAGTAGTAGTAGT